TTCAGTTGTTTTCACAGCCTAAATGTGTTGTTTTCTCTTATTCTAAATTGGGCTATTTGAATATTTCGTCATACTGGGGTCCCGAAACTGGAATTGCATGAATTTGGTATGACTAGCTGAGAGTCTTGTGGATCCAATGAGCAATTGTATTCCTATGGGATGATGTTAGACCCCATAGCCAATCCACACAAGAACATTTTTTTCAACTTGATATATAAGATGACCTGTTGTGACCTCTAGGTTTATCACAGCTCATGAAACTTTACAGCCACAAACTAGAGAGGCTGCATGCTTCCGCTGTAGGGTTAGTGACAGTGCGGGGGTCTCTGAGCAGTTCACACAACAGAAATGCCTGCCGTCCAATCACAGAACAATTGAATTCTTACAAAAAGCTTTATACTGTAAACCGTTGACCTACTATCTCCCCATAAAGATCCCTCTCCCGAAAAAAAGAAGCGAAAACGGGTCCGTGGGTCTCTTAGAGATAAGTGTATTTTACTGTAAATATTGATGTGCTTTTACTTAAGTAACAATTTGAAGGCAGAAAGTTTACTTGTAATGGAGTGTCTTAATAATGTATAATGTGGTATCGCTACTTAAGTAAAGAGTCAACATACTTCTTACTCCAATTCTGTTTGTTCAAATGCTGCTGAAGAGGCAATGCCTCTTCTTTGGGAAGAAGAAGAACGGTGCATTCAAATAGTTTTCTTCTCAAAGAAACCCATTTGATTGTAATTGTAGTGGATTAGACACAAACATATTCTGGATGTTAAAGACTGAGTAAATGATTCAAGCAGAGGGAACATTTTCTCTGTTTTGAAGGTAATGTAATGGACAAAGATCTCATTTTCTTTGTTCAATTGGTTGATTTAATAGGGATGTTGCACACATGCGCGTACACACACACACACGCACACACACATACACAAGCAAACAAACAACACCATCAGCCTTTTGTGATTTGATTATATTGTCTCCAACTCATTTATTTTCTTCCTAATTTCTCAGTTGCATTTTTCTCTGATGGCTCATTGAAAAAGGCGTCCTGTAAATGTGATGGTTGCTTCAGGCACAACACTCAGAGTGGTTATTCATTTTGAAACATCAGCTGGTAGACGTGTTTGAACAAGTTGAATTTGCACACGTTTGTTTGTCAAGTCTAATCATGGGACAAAAAGTTCAGAAGAAAACAGAGTAGATAATTACTTTAACGTTTTAGCTCACAGAGAAAATGGTCAAACTCTATTTAAGTGTTACTTCGTCTTTTCTTTGGCTTTAGGAAACAAATAGGCTGCAATGTGGCGCTCATTTTAATTTGTTGAAGGGATCCAACACCACTTTTCTCTCAACAGACTCTTATTAAGTAGCTGCACATTGATCCTAAACAAACATAATGGGATTAATGCAGTTTACTAAAGTAGTGCAATGGTGTCCAGTATTATTGATAGGGTGTATTATAGAAAGTTTCCTTAATCATGTAGTTAAAAAGCACTCTAGTCAGAGAGGATTTTTCTAATTCTTACTTTAAAACAGTCATAGATAGCATGTGAGAAGTTAGGGGAATAATTCCAAGAAACGCCTATTAATGTTACTAGTCATCATCAAACTCAGCTTTTCTGTGTGACTTATAGTTTGGTTCAATTGCTTAAACACTAAAATGAAACGTAAAGCACAATTATTGAGACTGAAACTCAGAGAGCAAAATCTCAAAAACTCTGAACTCATTTTCTGCTTTTCACCCAATTTGCAGTTCAACACATTGCACACATTTCTCTACTTAAGACACAGGAATCTGACATGAAGTCACATGTTTTGTATTTCAAAGCACTGCCATTCAAAATAAAGATAAAGAGGTTATTATTGTCATTGTAGTGATACAACGAAATTCCGTTTGGTAACCCTCATCCAGCCAGCAGCAGCAGCGAACAACAACAACAACAACGATAACAAACAATATACAAGATAAAAATACACAAAAGGAATAAAAACGTTACTAAAGTAATACTAAAATAAGGTTTGTGTAAACATTTGTTTTGAAATGCCACACCCATAGACCAATTGGCCAATAATAATTGCTTGATTGTCAATTTGTAAATCAAGATGTAAGCACTTTAAAAATACCACAGGTGAGTTCAACAACAATGGAAACCAACAGAGCAGTGAGAGGCCTCTTTTCAAAAATGTGTATAAACAATAGAAAAATAATGTAATTCATGTTTACTTTTTTTTGTTTCATCAAATGTGTTGCTGTGTTTGTATTTACAAATGCATGTTTGTATTGACTGCTTTTTATAATGTGGAGAGAAATACATATTTTCACCTGTGTGCATAGGTATTAGTCTTGTGTGTTGTGTTTGGTCAATATATTCATGTACACAATTTCGCTGCAAAATCAAACTCAGACTGTATCTTAGTAAAGTAGAAAGTTAAGTGTGTTAGATTGAGCACTTCCGTGTGTGACTGGTTCAAACTGAATCAGATCGAATGAACAGTGTGTGTGACATTTATAGAAAATGTAAATTACAAAGTGTGTAATTCATTCAAATTACACACTTTGAATGAAGTGTGTAATTTTGCAAAATATCTGAGGTGTCCCGATACTTTTGTGTGTAGTTGTGTGAATCGTGTGTCGTGTTTTATCAAAGTGTTTTCAAAATCGTGTCAATCGTAAAAAACTAATACTCGGTAGTTGAGGCGATACCTTTATAATCAGGAGTATACTGCCTTCACGTGGTAATAGTGCGTGGCGACACTATCCTTGCTCATAGTGTTTTAACCGCAATTGGAGAATAATTGTAGTTAGTCGCTGTAAAATGTAGTCTCAAACTGTGATTAGTAAAAAACAACTGAAATGATTTTTTGAGCTTGGTCTTATTTAATTTGAAAGTATTCACCGGTAATAGTCTGTTTCCAGTCTGTATTGATGATCGTTTAATTTTGTATCTGTTCTGATCGCTTGTTTTGTCAGACTGTATTTTGAAAGTACTTACCGGAAATTGTGGTATGCTGTCATTTCTGTACTATGTAACGTTAATCCTTGATTAATATCGTTCAATACAAATAGATAAATAAATAAATACATATATATTATCAGTATTCACATACACAATGAACTCATGACCGTGTGCTATTGTAAACTGATTGCTTCAGTTTGGCAACTTTATTTTGGAAGTACTTACCATAAGTATACTGTCATTTCTGCAATGACGCTAACTTGACAAAGTTAATATTGCAGTTATTCTCTGTGACCACCAGAGGGCAGTAAACACACGTGATTTAGATTTCGGTCAACCTCTTTGCTTGTCATCTCTACCTTTTCAGAATCAGAATCAGCTTTATTTTTTACAGAAAAAAAGACTTTTAGATATACAGTAAATAAAAAGAAACATTGCAACAGCATAAAGACGTCAGTACAGACAAGCAGTGATACTACTCGTAGAATACAATATAACAATAGATCAAATAACCTTGGTTTAATTTTTCTGATTGAAGTTATAACCACAATTAATAAACCCCGTTGACAGCAACACTCACTGATTCAATATATTATTATTAAATTCCGATGTTTAGTTTTATTTATTTTTTATTGTTTTGTGACGATTCTGAACGCTTGTTTTGTCACTGTATTTTGAAAGTAAATGGCAGTATTCTTTAATATCTGCACAATATTAACACTAATACAACTAGTTCCAACATAATTACTTCGCTTTATTGATACCTCTGAATATAAATGAACATAAATAATCAATTTGAAGATATACGATCACTTAATGAACGTTTGTACCAATGTATTTTGATGTTGAGTTTGAAAGTACTTACCGGAAGTATACTTATGTCTCCACTGACGCTAACTTGATGAAGTTAACGTTGCAGTTCTTCTCTGTGACCACCAGAGGGCAGTAAACACACGTGATTTAGATTTCGGTCAACCGTCATCCCATGCAATCTCTACCTTTTTGTACAGAAAAAAAGATATACTGTGCATAAAAATAAACATTTTTACAGTATAAGTAAGTCAGCTTAAGCTAACAGTGCTACCCTAAAGTAGAATAAAATATATCAGTAGATCAAATAACATTATTTCATTTTTTCTAAATGGTTGTACTAACAATAATCATTAAGTTAAAACCACAATAAATAAACACGTTGGCAGTTGCACTCAGCACTTTAATATATTATTATTACATCCTGATGTCTAGTTCTATAGCTTTTACTTATTTATTTTTAGATCATTCTGTTCGCTTGTCACTGTATTTTTAAAGCTCTCACTGGAAATGACAGTTTGGGATCATGTCTGTACAATATTAATACTAATACAATTAGTTCCAACACAATTGTTTGTCTTTATTGAAACATTTGAATACAAATGAACATAAATAATACATATACAGTGATATACGATCACTGAATGACCGTTTGTGCTAGTTTACTCAGATTGCTTCAGTTTGGTAACTGTATTTTGAAAGTATTCACCGGAAGTATACTGTCATGTCTGCATTGTTGTAACTTTACGAAGTCATGTTGCAGTTCTTCTCTGTGACCACCAGAGGGCAGTAAACACACGCGATTGGAGTTAATGAGTCCTTAAACCTAGAAATACATTTTTGCACTTCCAGTTCCCTCGTCTCGTTCATGGGTGTTTTTAATGTGTGTTTTGGTTAGATGCCGCAAACAAGGCCTGTTGTTCTACAGTGTGATAAAGACAGTTGCTAACAGTTCGCTAAATTATACTACAAAACGTCGTCACGCCGACCAGCTCTCCTCCACAGCCCTTTAAGTGTGTTTGTTTATAGCATGACATTAGCTTTTTATTTTTAGCGATTGCATTCACGCTTGAGAAATGATAAAAGTGGTGTTCAATTGTGTATATTATCATGCTGAACAAGGATCATAAAATTCGCCACAGAGTTTATCTTCTGCAATAATTCATCGTCCAATCGAAAAATCCCGTTAGCGTTTTGTCAAGAGAACGAGTGCATGCTAACTTCCGGGGTTGGCCCAAAGGATATATCCAACGTTTCTATTGGTTGTTCTACAAAAATACGTCATCCCTGCACCACCGCAGATTTAATTCAATTGGACGATTTGTATGTTTCATTTTTCCGATTAGCTAAACTTAAATTGACCATTAAACTATATTCAAGATTAATACACACATTGGCAGCAACATCGTTAAACGCCTCACTATATATATTATTAAATCCCGACAGCAATATATACTGTTTTATTCTGTTTTCCTTTAAAATATCCCGAATTGTTTTAGCCCTCGAGTAAAAACCGCCAATCAGAAGCCGCGCTCCATGGCGTTGCTAGGCAGATTATGTTAATATATGCAATGCAGCCGTCTCTGCAGCTACCATTCTGAGGTAAGATCAACTTGTACGCTTTCCACTAAATGTAAGAAAACTAGGATTTGCTTCAAGACTACTTGTGTAGCTCGACTCCTCGTTAGTCTTTCTGTTGATATACATTAAATGAGCGGGATGTTTTAGCTTATTTGAACCGGTAGGAAATGTATGTTTTTTTCTGTGCGTCTCTCTTCATGTCGCTGTTGTTGTTAGTCCCACCCAAAATGGAGCCCGGTCTTCCTTGTTCACAGTAGTCTTGAAGGGCTGGGCTCAACTAGAAATGGGGGACGGGTGGGTGTACCCAAATAATTCGGTCTTTTGCCGCTTGAAATCTAACTGTGTGAAACATCGCAGAATGCAGTCCAGGTCCTGGGGTCTGTGAAGGGATGAGTAGCTCTGAGGTCGGCCTTACTTTGGGACTATACGGCCGTAATGCTTATGTAGGCGGTGCGGTGAATGCCCGGGTTTCTCAAGCGCTGGTTTGTGTGGTATGGTCCAGTTGGGACTGAGAACCTGCGGGGTTAAAATAGGGGGGATTGAATTTTTTATTGATTATACCAACAAGATTTCTGAATGAGTTTACACAGTGGTGATTTTTCCCGGTGGCATTTGTGCCGATATGCGGCTGTATTTAGACACCGTTTCCCGGACTGGCTCGTGAGCAAACGTTAACCTTGTTTCCCCTCTTACCCCCGCTGAGAGTCCTGTGTGACCGCTCACAACACCAAGTGTCATGCTGCTTTATTTTGGCGTGAACGTCCTGTCAGCCGAGCATAACTGTGTCTGGAGAACCCAAAATATGTGTTGCAGATTGCACGTGGGGTTAAATTCAATTTGCTGAGAGAAGCTTCTGCAGTGCCTCGCAGACAAACAGCTTTTCTGTGTCTCGTGCATATGACTCTGATGAACCTGTAACAGTAGAGGCTCCATTGCATCACATTGTTTAAAATCCCATATTGTTGTGTCATGATTATTGATTATTCTCAAATGCATATTTAAATCAAGCTTCCATATTTTACACAATATTACCCGTTATCACCATGTAGAATTATTATTGTTATCGTTATTATGACTGTCCTCCTGTTGTCGTTACAGTCTCTCTCCAGAGTGAAGTGATCGGTGACGTGGTTGCCGATAGGCCTGGCAACTTGCTGCCATGGAGACCAAACAGGAGCCATCGTCTGTGTGGAGTCAGACTTCTGACAACGATCCAGCCAACGGCACACAGGTCTGAACCGTCCCTGTTACAGCACACTGTAAACATCAGAGGACGAGTCTCACAACTAGTTTGTTGAACACTCGCCAGATGCATCCTTCTGCCCACAGTTTCTACTGTATCCCAACATTCACTATCCACATACATAGCTTTAGTTAATAGAATATTGTGGGATTTTCCAAGTTGTGGTTCCTTACCCTCAGAAAGGACATGAATGCACCATCGTTTGTTCAACACTACTATGTCAAGGGCGGATTAATAGGGCCTTCGTGTCTCCTGCAGGTGCATTTTGAAGGCGGCACAGTGGCCCAGATCGTGTACAGTGACGATCAGTCGGACCGGGGACAGCAGCAGGTGGTTTATACAGCAGACGGGAACTCCTATACCTCAGTAGAGTCTGCAGAGCACACACTGGTTTACATTCACCCTGCAGATGGCACTCAGGTAAGAACACATCATTTTTTTTTTTTTTTTTTTTTTTTTTTTTAGAGCATACATATTTGTAACTGATATTTTAAGCATGTAGATGACAGAGGAACAGCTTGTATTGATGGGTGGGTTGGGTTCAATGTTTTGTTCAAGGAGGCCATAGCACATAGTTCATGACCGCATGTTTGGCACGTTTTACAAAAATCAGCATTAACCCTCTCAAGAGTTTCATTTATTTTCACTGTCTTGGTTCGAATGTGCCAAGTATGCATGAATGAATATGTATATTTCATAGCCTGCAAGATCACAGCTCAGTATTAAACTTCTCTTACAGAACGTTTTTGCTGACCAGCCACAAGTGGCTTACATTCAGCAGGATGGTACAACGCAACAGGTGAGGTTACAAGGTACTGTCCTGTCGTTGCTGTGTGCCACCTGGTTTTCTTGAACCATTAAGCGATGCATTCTCATCCGCAGGTCACAGTTCTGCTGCCCAGTGGACAGAACATGAATGCTGCCAACCTGCATGTTCTCAGTAACGTAGCAGAGGCTCCCCAAGCTATCCTGGAGCCAGTTTCCCAGGTGATGATATGGCACGACGACAGCATGTGATGTGATGAACAAATAAAACGTTTTGATTGATGTCACTGTCAGTCCCTCAGAAACAAACAGTAGATGGATGTTTCTTGACTTGACAACCACAACATTTGTTTTTGCATGCACAGAATATCATGAATAAATATTCTCTGGTGGTGTAAAACTATCCAAGGATACATTAATTTTTTACTTTTTTATTGCATTGTTACATCTGAACAAGCCTGGAGATGAGAACTTGTCAGCGTTTCTCACGTAAAGATGAACAGAGCAATACTAAAACTGTGAAATGATCAAACACACACAGGAGCAGCTGTCCGTGTCCAATTCGCTCCCCTCCATGGCTGACATCGCGGACCCCCCCACCAGTCTCCTCGGGGCCACAGACTCCACGGAAGATTCTGACGAAGATGAGGACGAAGACTCTGAGATGGATGACTGGGAACCTCGTCTGCCTCAGTCGTTCAACCCTCACAGCCTCTGTGAGTGAAGTCCTCCACAGTCGTAATGCAGTCGTCTGGTCCGTCAGGAGTCACTGGTGTAGAGCACACACAGAGGATGTTGAGTCTTGACTGTGGAAGTGATGCTTTATTTAATACACTCGGCTCACTGACTCACAGAAACCACATAACATAACAAAGTCGAAATATAGAACATTATAACACACAAAAAACAACTACAACTGGTCTAGTTCTGTACTACATTTGTTTTTATTGATAAGAAATGTAATCTGATGTGTTAGCATTTTTTTAAGTCAAGGCACAAATCTGCCAAATTGAAATTTCATTCAGAACAATGGAAATGATCGTAGCTCCTTCAAATCAGACGTTATGTTGAGTGTCTGTGGACACTTTTTAAGTAGAAAAACACAAACGACAAATAATATTTGCTCATTCATTTTATCTATCTATCTATCTATATATATATCTATATCTATATATATATATCTATATATATATATATATATATATATATATATATATATATATATCTCTTATTGATCTTTTCTTTGTGGCTTCTCAGGGTGTGACGAGTGTAATAATGCCAACCCCTCCGTGTGCCTGAAGCACGGCCCTCTGCACCCCATCCCCAACCGGCCTGTGGTGTCCAAGGCCCGGGCCAGTCTGCCTCTGGTCCTCTACATCGACCGCTTCCTGGGCGGAGTGTTCTCCAAGAGACGCATCCCAAAGCGCACACAGTTTGGTCCGGTGGAGGGACACCTGGTTTCTCAGAGTGAACTGCAGGACCACTACCTTCATCTAAAAGTAAACCGGCGCTCTGCACGACGGATCTCTGTTTGATTGCTTTTAGGCTCTCTGTAGTTGTGTAGCTTTTATTTTAGTATTTTGCTGCACTGAGTAAATTATACATCTGACATTATGTCTGATCTCTAGTCTGTGTTTTTGCTTGTTGGCTCAGCTGTGCGTGCTGGATGCAGAGACAGATGGAGAGAAGTCTGATGACATGTGGTTGGACCTTTCTGATGAAGACCGCTGTAACTGGATGATGTTTGTGAGACCTGCTGAGAACCACCTGGAGCAGAACCTGGTTGCCTACCAGTACGGCTCAGAGATTTTCTACACCTCCATCAAGAACATCCAACCCAAACAGGAGCTCAAGGTCAGTCCTGTGTAGTTTGTTTGTGTGTTGCGTTGTGCATACACTGTAATATAGAGAATCACATTATACACAACCATTTACATTTTTTTTATCAATGTCAATCAGGTGACAAGCAACTGGTTTCGACCGGTGGCCAATCGATCAGTGCGTCTCTGTCTTCATATGTAGGACTTAACTTAACGCGTTTCAGCTGTGTAATGAAACAAAGTTGTAACTCCTGTCTGCTCGCTGCCCAGCATCAAACAGCTTAAATGCAGAGTTAGACAAGCTGGTGAGGAAGTTTAGTTTAGTTCAGTCAAAAGTCAAATATCTAGCAACTTAATTACCAGATCTTTTTCTCAGTAGGTGACAGAGACAAGCCCGAGCCAAAAGGAGAGTTAATCAGTCCCAGGAAATAGTTGATTTGTGTTTTTCATGATATCTCCCTCTGCAGGTTTGGTATGCGGCATCATATGCAGAGTTCGTCAACCAGAAGATCCACAATATTACAGAAGAAGAGAGAAAAGGTGAGTCACTGCACATACTTAAGATCAACACCATCTATTTTTTTGACTTATTTACCAAACTTACAACACTCCTATTGTTTACGGCCGGTATGCTCAGAGCAGAGCACTGTCCGTTAGCTAACATTTTCTATACTCTGTAGCTGTTTTTTTTTCTTCAATTTTGGTTATTGTAAAGTTGGTCTTGAATTTAATTCCGATTGGCATTAAAAAAAGTCCTAAATCTCACTTTCCTTAAGCTGCAGCAGCCCTTTGTGATGACATGTCCCATTACAAACTGTTAAAACAGTAGGAGAGGTCAGTAGTAGTGCTTCTTCCTGGTCCTCACTTTCTGTTGTTCCTTCAGTGCTCCGGGAGCAAGAGAAGAACTGGCCTTGTTTTGAGTGTAACCGCCGCTTCGTGAGCTCTGAACAGCTGCAGCAACATCTCAACATGCATGATGACAAGTTAACCTATGTCACCAGGTAAAGCCCTTTTTTCCTCATCTTATTTTACACTTTTTTTCTTTCGTTTCTATCACATTAGAGCCCAAATGACCAGATTCCCGGTTTCTTTCCTCTCTCAGATCCAGAGGCCGGGGTCGAGGAAGAGGCAGGAGGAGATTTGGGACAGGAAGAAGACCGGGACGCCCGCCTAAATTTATACGTTTGGATCCACCAGTCGACGCCGGTGGGGAAAAGACAACAGTAAGGGACGCATTAATACGTACTGTGTTGATTAATCGATTGGTTAATTGGCTCTGAGAAATTGTGATGGACCCTTTTTCACCTTTTTAATCAGGAGATGATGGAATTGACGGAGAAGCCTCTGGAGGAGCGAGCGGACGGAGCTCAGAACGGGTTGACGGTGGTGGTGGTGGATATGGAGTCGGAGGCAGCAACTGGGTCTGAGGCAGAGGGACAGCTTGTCTCTCCTGCAGGGGAGCCGGTTTCAGAGTCCGTCAGCCCGCCCTCCGACACGGACGTGCCTGTTCCACTAAAGGAGGACCCAGCACAGAGCAGCCATTCGGACGCCCACCTCACCTCTCAGGACATGCGCCGTGCCAAGAGGATACGGGTAAGACTGCTGTGTTCAGCGAAATGCAACAGCGCTTTAGATACGTTTGTTATTTGGTGTCATAGTGGCCATGTTGGCTTTACAACAGTGTGTCTCTCTTCCTCAATGCGTGCTTCCCTCAAAGATGGATGTGCAGGTAGGTAGGACCAGGAGGATGGCAGAAAAAAAAAACATTCGCTTGAAAGATTCCTTTCATCATTTTCCCATGGTGTTACTATTCATGTGATATTTCTGGGTATTCCCCCTCTTTGCACACTACTGCATCCATCAGCCTCATCCCATGTCTGTTTGGGGTTTGCTACTAGTAGTTCCTCCCTCTCTTTTGTCCTCCTCAGAATGCAGCGCTGCAGCACCATTTCATTAGGAAGAGCTTTCGGCCTTTTAAATGCACCCACTGTGGAAAGGCCTTCCGGGACAAAGACAAGCTGGATCAGCACCTGCGGGTCCACGGCCGGGACGCCTACGCCTTTTCCTGCCACATTTGCAGCAAGACTTTCATGAGCGACTCGGCCCTGGAGGACCATCTGGTGGTGCACACGGAGAACCGCTCCTACTCTTGTCTCTTATGCCCGGAAACCTTTGAAAGGCTGGACCTGCTCAAAGACCATGTCGGGATGCATGCTGTGAACGGATGCTTCACCTGTCCCACCTGCAAGAAGACATTTACTGACTTCATCCAGGTTAGTAATAAATGTCTTTGGCCCGTTAGAACCAGGCAGTAAGGGTCTGAGAAGTGAAGTTAAGAAGAATTAAGGAAGGAACATTCTGTTTTGAAATAGTAAATTGACTTATTTACCCAAATTTCGGACTACAAATTGTTCTCTCCCATAGGTGAAGAAGCATATCCGCTGCTTCCATTCAGAGAAGGTCTTCCAGTGCCCAGACTGTGAAAAGGCCTTCTGCCGGCCGGACAAGCTGCGTCTGCACATGTTACGCCACTCTGACCGCAAGGACTTCCTGTGCTCAACATGTGGCAAACAATTCAAGGTAATTCTGAATAGATGGAGCATTGAAAGATAACAGAAAGTAGTAAATAGACATGTCAGTTCTTACGTGACAATTCATTTCCTGTGGCATTAAGAGGAAAGATAAGCTGCGGGAGCACATGCAGCGCATGCACAATCCCGACAGAGAGGCCAAGAAGGCAGACAGAATCCACCGCTCCAAAACCCTCAAACTGAAGTTGCCCACCTCGGACTTCGAGAGCTTCATGTTCAAGTGCAGATTGTGCATGATGGGATTCAGACGCAGAGGAATGCTGGTGAGCAACGAGTCACAGAAAGCTGTTGATAATGAAGTGGGAGATGTTCCAGTACACTCTGCTTTATTTTTCTGGTTACAGGTCAATCATTTGTCCAAGCGTCATCCAGACATGCGTATTGATGATGTGCCTGAGCTCACGCTGCCGATTATCAAGCCCAACAGGGACTACTTCTGCCAGTATTGTGACAAGGTCCGTTACCCCCATCCTGTCGTGTGCACTTTGAGTTTCTGGAGAAGATTTGTCATTGTGTTTTTTATTTTTTATTTATGTAATATTTGGTGAAAGTTCATGTCTTGAATCAAACATGCAAACTTCCGCTTCACCTCGAACTCTGAACCTGAGCTTTCAGTATATCAATGAATCTATCTGATGGCTCTCTGTGCAGGTGTATAAGAGTGCCAGTAAGAGGAAAGCACACATACTGAAGAACCACCCTGGGGCAGAACTGCCTCCCAGCATCCGTAAGTTGCGTCCGGCTGCTCCTGGTGAACCAGACCCCATGTTGAGCACACACACACAGCTGACTGGCACCATCGCCACTGCACCGGTCTGTTGCCCACACTGTGCCAAACAGTACAGCAGCAAGGTTAGTATGAAGCTCTGTCAAAGATGTTATGACTTTCTACAAAGATGGACTCATTCACAATTTTATGCCGTGTCTTGGACACTTCCAGGTCCCGGCTGATAACTCTCTTTGCTTGTTATCTCAGACTAAGATGGTTCAGCACATCAGGAAGAAGCATCTAGAGTTTGCCCAACTCAACAACACCATCCAGGCTCCTCTGACTACAGCGGTCATCAGCAGTGCTCCTGCAGTCATCAGTGTGGACAGCACCACAGCTGAGGCTGTAGTGGTAAGAAAGAGTAACAAATGTTGAACACCAACACTCAGTGCATTTCTGAAAATGTGTATTACATAAACAGAAATTGGTGATAGTAAAGTACAAAGCTACACAATGTAAATAAATGTTAATGTTATAGAAAACTGGACTCGGCAGCAGAATCAATAACGAAAGAAAGGGGATCAACTCGTAAACACCCGTATTAGAACTTTCTGATTGATTTTCTCCACAGACCACAGATTTGCTGACCCAGGCCATGACGGAGCTTTCTCAAACACTGACCACAGACTTCCGCACAGCTCAGGGAGACTACCAGAGGATCCAGTACATCCCAGTGTCTCAGGCAGGAGGCAACCTATCCCAGCCGCAACACATTCAGCTGCAGGTGGTGCAGGTGGCTCCGGTGAGATCCGGGATCTGATCTAGGATCTAGATTCGGTTTTTTTTTCAAAACTTTGATGTGTCCCTGAAAGGCTGACTCAGCATTTTAACAATATCCTGCTCTGCAATCAAAGTACTACACTAAAACAATCAGTCGATTATAAAAGACTTAAAGTTGCTTGTTCTGTGGTGGATTGAGGTAAATGTAAGAACGTACTCATTCTTTCCTGTGTTTCACAGGCTTCCCCCCCACATTCCCAGCACCCGACAGTAGATGTGAGCCAGCTGCATGACCCTCATGGCTACAGCCAGCACTCCATCCAGGTACAACACATCCAGGTCAACGAGGCCTCAGGCACTGGACAGGGTGCCGGCCAGGTAAATCCTCCACCCTCTGACTCTGATAACGACACACGTTGTGGGTCCCTTAATTTTAAGCTTGAAAACAGAATATTGCATCTCTTCACCCTCTTTTAGCCTCTAAGCCCCACCTCCCAGCAGCCCAGTCAGGAGCTGAGCCCCACCCAGCTGACCCCTGTGACCTTAGCTCAGAGCCACACCCTGCAGACCAGCAGCACCCATCAGCAGCAGCAGCAGGGGACCGTGCAGCACGCCTACATACCCGGGAACTGGAACTACCGAGGCTACTGTGAGTTGCACGCATGCTCCCATATCGTCCAGTCAGACTCTGTATGTTTTAATGGCTCTATACTGTAAGAAGGCCTCTCGGGTTAACATGTCAACTTTTTACTGTGGCAGCGTCTGAGATCCAGATGATGGCTCTACCCCACACGCAATATGTGATAGCTGAGGCCAGCAGTCCTGTATCTGGAGTCAACAGCAACCAGGTGAAAACGGTGAGTGAGTGCTGTCTGATACCTGTTAGATTAAAGTGACCGGTACATTTGGCTGTGGTTTAGGAAATCACTGTGATGCTGTTTCATATTTTTTACACCCGTGTTTTTTTATAGGTAAGGCTCACACTGCAAGTGTCACTCGTCCAGACAAAAGCTTCAAAGTTCTTTCTTTTTTTTAATGCAAATTTCAAAATATCACTATGTGCTACATGGAAAGGTAGTAAAAAAAAAAAATAAGATACTGAAGCAGAGACCTATTTAAACACATAAGAACTTGTCACTTAACAGCAAATTTGTCTTAGATTGAAGAATCTATGAACAAGAAAATGGTTTACTGCGCATCAGAAGCTTCTTTAAATGTATCTCAGCTTTTTGATTATGTATATTCAGCTGTATACTTACTGTAACTCTTGAATTAAATGAAGTTGTATGTGGCTCCTTTATGTCACATCTCTACTTATTGTTCAGTGAGCCTGATAAAGCGCTCGTGGAATTTGTTGTTTGCTCTTTCATTACTTGTGAAAAGTTAAAAATGATTGTTTCTCTGCATGAGCGTCGGGCGATATGATGTAAATATTGTGCAACGGTGAAAATGTGTCCACCAGTAAAGATTGGCAATACTGATTGGCTATTCTAACGTGATGCCGCAAATCCAGCTGCCTCGCAAGGTAACAGGATTTGCGCAGACATGGACGATAGTACAGTTGTAAATACAGAGCAGGTGGAGGCACTCAAACAACCCACGATGAGGAAGAACTCTGGTTACATGACATTTGCACACTGTAGTTTTTTGAAAGATGAGCAAATCCTACAGGAAAAAAATACTTTTTCTTGTGGTATACTCTAAAATACTAATTTGTGTGATTTATTTTTTTATATCGTCAGTCTGGTATTTATTAACGAATGTTAACCATAACACCTGAAATTATTGTTCTCAAGATCTTTAATAAGAAACAGGAAATAATCACGTGTTGAAGTGTGTTTTAAAAAAAACAAGCGTTTCATAACTGAATTTACACAACATTGTAATATATACTGGTACCGTGATATACAATGATAGAAGATCACCCACCCCTACTCTGCACACACATCTTTGAGAAACATGTATGCTGCCAGATGTGTGTCACATCTCAGACAATAAAGAATGAGAAACGGGCAAACATTCTGAATTGATCATGGTGGATTATTGGACCAAGTGAAACCCTAGTTGTGGAACTTAAGTCGTTCTCATCCCTGTCCTGCAGACGCACTACGTTATCTCTGAGGGTCAGACTGAACTGGAGACTAAACACACGGTTCCTCAGAGTACAACCCAGGGCCATGCGGAACATCTGGAGCAGCAACCGGCCACCACGCAGTACATCATCACCACCACCACCAATGGCAGCGGCACTAGTGAAGTTCACATCACAAAACCCTGAAGTGTGCTGCGATGAACTCTGCAAACCACGGACTGATCCTGCATGTATACCTCAGCAGCTTGTATGCTCATTGATGAACAAACACACAGTCGCAGGTGGATACATACAGCGCTAACACGGGACTTGATGACCAGCACAGTTTTATGTGTCTGTAAGATGATGAATGAGCTGTTGAGTTGCAAGCTGCCGGAACTTTGTGAGAAAGTTAAGTTATGAGATTTAAGTTTTGATTTTTAACAGAATATGTAATCAAAGACTGAACTGAACTTGCTTTAAAGACACAGCACTGGAAACATTTTCATTGAAACTGCTAAAAACAGGGACATTATATTAAATACAGGGTCCTGTATGGACCATAAAAACAAACATTTTACAGTCTTATGTGTGAGCTACTGAAGTGGTGGAAATATTTTATTGCTCAGTCCTGACACATATTCGAGTGCCCATTTTACATATTTGTAAAGTTACAGGAATTTCTAAAGTGTAGTATTTATAATGAAATACAGAACTGAAAAATACTGTATAAAACAGTTCTGGGGGTAGTCCTTTCAAACAGGTCATTGTGTTTATGCCTAACACCATCTGTTGAGTTGTATGTTACCCTATTGTTGCTGACCTCAGATGTGTCTATTCATTTCCTTTGGGAAGGCCTCAGACAATTCTTATTCATGTAGGGGATTGTCCTAATGTCTCCTAGTTAAAGTGTTACAATTAGAAACATTAGGGGACAGCATCACATGTTTGCAACTGAACAGCTGAGGACGTCCACATACAATGTGTTAAGAAGGATAAGGGCTTATTCCATTGTATTAATCTGTTTATGAAATACAACCAATATTGCAAGTGCTTCATTTGGGGCTGGTGCTTAAAGAACAGCACAGTGTCTTAGGGTAAAGGGGGTGATATTGCCACTCAGCATGTCTCATATTTCTTTCCCAATATGGTGAGAAAAGAGGAAGTTATTCAGAAGGAATAGCTCAAACCTTGCGATAGCATTCACCTGCCTACTGTGTGTTCATGAGCAAGGCCTCTAATGCTGGAACTTATAGTATTACATTACTTCTGGTACTTAGACTTTCATTAAGTACTTTTAATTTACCCATAAAGGCCACACCATAAAATCTAGGCTCTTGTAAAATGCTGTTTATGTGCCCATTATTTATATTAGTCTATAGACTTGTACAATGTAAAATATTGCAGGAATATTATGAGACTTTGATCATGTACAGCGGTGATTTTGTCCTTTTGTTTATGTGTTGAGAAATTAAATTGTTTTATATCTGCCCGGTGTGTTTTTCTGTTCAATTCATTATAAAGGTGTTGAACTTGAGGATCAAGCGATGCCTGAACAGTCTGTTCAGGTTCATCTTCAGATGAATTGGGGTATAATCTGTCTGGATATGATTCTTGCTCTCGCTGCTAGATGGCAGCATGGCCATAGAAAACAGAGAGAAGTTTTACAGCATTTTAAAAGTGACTAAAACATTACAACGGAACAGGCAAGTGTCAACCTTAATTATGTGTGAGTGATCGCTCATCCATTTGTGAACCTCTTTTAATTAAGGGTTTAATGCTATTCAGATCCAACACCTTGTTCACATGGTGTGACCTAATGACAGCTCGGTGACTCCCAGTGTACCTGGGCGGAGCAGGGCTTGTCCTCCACACAATTGTGATGAAGTATGTTTCACACATTCCTTCGTGGATGGAATGTAGGAAAACGTAAAAAGAAAACACCACCTAGATTGAACAAATAGTCCAGTAGAGCCAGTTTAACAAGCTGAACTAATCACATACCAAGCAGGTGTTTTGTGTTCAACTAATTGCTCTGGTGCAGTTTCAAACAGCATGTCGTCTGTGTTGCTCCGATGACTTGGTTGACAGTTTGCCACCCCAAAAGTCGAGGGGGTACAGGACAAGGAGGGAGACCGGGCTGTAAATGGATGAAGGAGGTAAAGGAGGACGAGGGGGGAGAACCAACTGAGAGGAGGCAAACACGGCAGAGGTACGTAGATCTGTGTGTCATTCAACTTACCTTTTACTAGCGTTTGAGTGGCAGGAGTCTGCTTACCTGCTGCTACATGGGAGAAGGTCTGAGTGAAATCTGCTCAGGTATGTTAACAGCAAATGTTTTTTTCTGCTCCATTAGGGAGACATCTGTCAACATGGTACACCTCTGGGTTCACATCTATCAGTAATGAGCTAAAAGAACTGAACTGACTATCAATTACAGTACAGTGCTGGTTTAGGGAGAAACCTCTGTGACTCAGCTGGACGCAACAGCTGGTCCATCATTATAAATGCATGTTGCGTGGCAGAGTGTTGTTCAAAACTTTATTTCAAATTCCAATGTGGATACCAGGATTGACCAAACTGTATGAAAAGTAAAGCAAAGAAATCTGTAACATTCCACTTAATGTCATGTGTTGCTATAAAAAAACATGCCTAAGACTTGAGTCATGCAAGTGCCATACAATGTTTTATCTAACTTTGATGCAAATTAAGGAGACATGTTAGGGACCATATCTCACAACAGAGATCCAATATGAATGCTAAAGGGGAATGACCTTAAGGCTGCGCTAATTTATTTTATATTTGCATGACCCCTTTTTCTAATAGTGTTCCCTTTTTTTAATTTCCAATAAAGCAGTTCTCACTCTCTGAGTTGCTTTTTAACGGTTTGCTGTCTATCACTCTGTTGCTCCATTACTCTAGCAGTTCAAACCAAACACCAGCTGTTCATCAGCCACAGCAAACATCTTGGTCACAGACACTGAGACGAGGCTGGTATGGTTTTGCTCCAGTAGGTGTAGTGTGGTCAGTCTGCCAGGTGGAGGCGACGCTGCACCCATCTCTGTTACTGGTGGATGTGTGCTGGAGGCTCCTGTTGGTGTGTTTGCTGTGGATGGTTCTGGGAGGTTGTGTCCATGCCCTGAAGTGCTGCCGGAGGCCAGGACAGAACCAGGTGAGCGCAGCGGCATTAACTGAATCTCATTTTACCCTGTTGTTGGATTTCTTCATGTGTTTATTGGGTGAGTTTGCTTCAATTTAAGGGGGAGTGTCCACTGAGGGTGCAGCAGGAGGTTGCTACTGAAAACAAGAATTTATGGTGAGACTTAATTTTACAGCCATTCCTCCATTATATGATATATTATTTGGGGATTTTTTTACAACATACAGTATACAGGCAATATGGACCAAAGACCTTATAGGCCAGATATTATCTAAGAACACTGTAAGATGTCCATTTTAAAATCTGCTATATCCAACTGCTATATCTAATTTAAATGCACCCAAAGTAACCACATCTATCTGTTATCAAATGCTTTAATTTCACTGTTTTATAAAATACGAGTACATCTGTAGTTGTGAGGGTGGATCACGTTTCTTCATTGACCTACCGATACACATTATTCCTCCAGGAGGTCCCAGTCGAGGAGCCTGGACAACATTGCTCCTCTGGCCCTTGCCCTGGCTGACGGCCTGCTGCTGTGTGCGCTCCAGGAGCCCCTTTTAGACCCCAGGGTGCCCCACATAAAGGCTCTCCTCTCCAGGCTGGAGGTAAGAGGGAGAAAATCTCTCTCTCTCACTCTCACTCTCACTCACTCTCACAGACAGAGGAGCCTCCAGCAATACCTGTCATCTCCTGTGTTTTCACTCGCTCTTTGCATGTAGATCAGTGTGAAGTCTTTGGTGGTGATATTAGATCAGACTTTGTACTCGGGCATACACTGATATTCTAGCCCATGGCAATACACACTGCTGCTGTCTTCTGCACTCCGAATCAACCCGATTGGCAGAGGAGAGACATTTTAATTACATGTCTCCTTATGTATTTCCTGTTTGCATTTTAGCACTTACCATGAATGTGGCTCTATGATAGCAGTGTCAGTGATTCTGTTAGCCTGTTGGTCTAATATTCTTTAATTTAAGCTGCAGGTCAACATTTTTATTGGTAGAATATCTCAAAAAGTACTGACCAAAACCTGCTGTAACTTTGTGAGTTTAATGCTCACTAAAGTGCTGTCATGCTGGGTTAAGAACCCTGTCCTCCTGCATCAGCCTCAGGCTTACCTTTTTGTGCCATCAACATTACAATCTCAAAAACCCACGGAGCTGTTTCCCTTTCTTTCTGTTTTTAGAATGTTCCAAAAATGTATTATTTAAATGACTATTGCAGAATCACTATAGATTTTATGTTTGTGGCATTTTTAAACTGTGTGAAAATATTTCTTTGGACATTTGCATGTGTAGAACAGATGTGTCAGTGGAGAATGAATATACAATTCAACAAGTAGATTCCAACACACTGTCCCCATCTCTTGAAATTTTTATGTGAGCATTATAAACGCAAATAAATTTAAGTATGACTTTCGATGGGTATTGATGCATACATTTTGCAGAGGAAGTTTTAAGAACCTCCACAAAACTAAACCCGGCCCTCTCAATCTTCTATTTTTCACTGTAGTCAGTGTGTCACACTCTTGAAAAGGCTGGTATTGGTTCAGAGGTGACATTGGAGGATATGGACCAAGACTCTATACTGATAGACAAAGTGAAGCTGATCCACACATACCTGCGGCAGAGGTAAGGTTCAACCTCCAGTGTACATGCCATCTGCTTTCTTGGAAACTTTGTTCAGTTGGATTAATATCACACATTCCCTTCGGATAGGTCGAGCTCACTGTGTAGACTCATCCAGGTGCAGGGGGATTTCGAAACTACTGCGAAGGATGTGCTGGAGGGCCTAGAAGGCCTCTGGGCTCAGCTGGAGGAGCTCCACACTGGGGTCACGCTCACCAAAGAGAGGAGCCTAGGCCACGGAGACCTGGCCTCTGCCCAGACAGACACAGAGGTAAGCATGTGTGAAGGTCTGTCTGCAGTTGTGCAGTACTGGTATTATAATGTACCAGTGTAATGTTAAGTTTTGCCTATATGCTGTTGATATAACACATTATCCTACACAGAGGTGATTAAAAGGGCTTACAGGCAAAGAAAGAAAGAAGTATAAAAGTAAGATAAATAATAGTACAGACAAGCCTACAATGATAAGTTGTCTTCTTTGTTTTAGTTTCTTTTACGAACCATGAATCATTGACATTTTCCTTGTGCATTGAGTGTTATTTGTAATACTCTTATGTCTTTGGCAAAGACTTTGTTTGCAGTCTTGGTTCACTACAGGAACAGACTTCAGTGCTGCCAGGCTCAGCTGAACGACAGCACACAATTGGTGCAGGTAAAGTTCTCCTCACTCAAGAAAAGTCAACTTCTGATATTTTGTGATGTCTTCACTCAGAAATCCCCTCTGCCCTGTCCCACAGGAGTTAACGTGGCGTCACACGCAAATAAGCAACAGTGTGAGCAGCACCAGTGAGTCAGTGTGGCCAGAGCTGTTGCTTCAGTCCAACATTGAGCAGGTACAATTAACTCAAACATTGTCCATAGGTTTAGAAACCCCCCCGGACTAAAAACTCTTCTCCCTTTACAGTTTGACAAGGTGCAGGAGAGTTTCATTACCCTGGAACAACAGACCTCTACGTTCCAGGCTCACTTAGAGGGACTTGGAAAGGCGAATCAGGAGAGAGACAGAGGGCCTCTCGATCAGGCCAATGGGGCCTGTGCAATACCTGCACAGACTTCCCTACATCTCCAGAATGGAAGCACAACTCACGAGAAGCACCGTAACTCCACCTCTGCATCCACATCTGTCTCCTCAATGGAAATCGACACAGAAATAGACAGTCTTCTCTCACTGTGTAAGAGGTCGGCTCTGCAGTTCACCTCCAGTATCGGACGCCTGAGTAAATCTGGAAGGAGGAAGTGAATGTTATTGGACTATACTTGGTATATGCACCAGGAATTTAGTAAATAGGTTTTAATTTACAATGGAGACTATTTTCAAATGTAGATCATTTGCTGATTGTCTGAAAAAAAAGATAATTTATTGCTTTCTATGTTTGAGAGAGAGAGAGAGAGAGAGAGAGAATTTTGCTTACATTTTTCATTTCAAAGACTGTGCATGATCCTATCAGTATTTTTCCCATTTACTGAATTTCAAACACAAGGGGGCACACTTTCACCAGTTATGACAAACATAAACCTTTGTCTCAAATCACTTATTCAACAAACTTTATCATAATATCAAACCATTTATATACCCTATAGGCATCTAAAATCTCTGTCTGCAACAAGGGACCATTGGCCTGACCTTTTCCTGTCAATCAACTTTATTTGAGGAAATTGTTGGACAGGCTTCTCAAACATATGGCCCATAAATGTGTTTCTCCAAGATCAGAACAGCCAGCCACAACTTGTCTGAAGAATCTCAAGTGATGAATGACATTTAGTCATGTTTCATTTACTAATTAATTGCGTCATCCATCCTATTTGTACTTAAACGGAGTAATATTGGATCTGATGATGCGTTTTTTCGTTAAGCCACCACTTGCTTTTTTAACCAAGTAAAAAGTTTTTGTTTAAATATTTATCTATACATTTAACAAGCACTTTCTTCGAATGTGCAGGAGCAATAGGTTTCAGGTTGAGAAATTCTGGACTTTTTACTATTCCAGAAGAATTTTTTGTTCTATCTCGAGTGGCCATGATGACTTGGGCTTTTCAAAGCAGGGATATTTTAGCGCAGAGGGGGGAGAGGAAGGGGGAATTGGAGGTCAACGCCGGAAGCGCTTCTGTTACTAAAAACTGAGCAGCCCTTTAGACCTTCTCGAAAGACATGAATGTCTTTGATCCAAATTCAATTACCCTGCAGCACCGACACTGATGGCATGGAAGTCGACATAGTTTTCTCCACCAGATCCTGACTTTTCTTACCGGACCGAACAGGATTTCTGATGAGAATCAATTCATTCATTGCTGCCGTTATGTGCTAATAGAAGGGAGTCTGTACAGTATACATGCCGTGGATGTCATTTGACCATGAACTTGCCCACCATCTGCCAGATCCTGCATCTGTCCGATTCCCTCACACTGGGGCAGTGATTGGAAGAGGTGGGGCCGACCTCTGGGGAATCTGGATGAAAGGAATGCAAGCTGATCGCTGCAGGATCCGAGCTGTCACAACTCCGAAGACACAAACACACCATGTCTGGACAGAGAGTGGGACGTAAAGACTGCGAGAGAAAGATGTGTTTGGTGACGTGACGTTAGTGACAAGGGCTAATAATAATAATTGACATGCCCCATGAATATGTTGAATTTGTGCACGGATCAGTCATGAATACACACATAATAGTCTTAGAGGCTTGCTTAGAATAACAATGACCACATTTGCTTTGAGGTTCAATAGTCAAAAGTAAACAGAACTTTTTGAATTGATTTATTGAGTGCTTTAATAAATGACTAGAAGAATTAGGAGTTGATTCTATTAAATGTGAATAAAAAAGTGTCTCAAATACAAAACAAGCCCTACTTTGCGAGCTGGTGGGGAACATCCCGGTCCTGTCCAGATGAACTCATACTTCACATTGCTGGCATGTGATGTCATGACCAGCAGAGGGACAGCATCTTGGAGAGCAGGGCACCCACCAGCTATCTGCTCGTTGAGAATGTAAGAGTAAGCTAATGAAATTACCACAGGCTTTGTTTAGTTACACTAAAAAATTGATGACTAGCTTCCTCATGGGCCACTCCAGTCCTGGAGGAGAGGATATTTCAAAGCTAGCTCAAGTGTGTGTTGTTTCAGAAAATATGGTTCATGGCAGAGGTCAATCCCTCACCTTATCCTGACAATTACTCAAGATCGTGTTTCACTGGTGTACACATTGCACACATTTGTGCTGATCCCTCCTCTGATGGCACTGCAAGACACCATACAGTGGTGTGGACGCTTGCTATCTAATATAAACAAACTCAAGGAACTTGTCACAAAACTTGAGAGCACTGTTAAATAATCCACCTTAAATGCCAGTTAAAGATTAGGCACAATGTTAATGTGCAACATTTTATTCAACAAAATTTAGTACGTACCAAACAGAGGAAACATACACAGAGCCACCAAATAAAGGCAAGAACAACTAAGAACACTGTAAAGAATGATAAAGTGTGTGTGTGTGTGTGTGTTTGTGAGTGTTTGTGAGTGTGTGTGTGTGTGTGTGTGAGAGTGTGCGTGGATGGTGGGGGTCCTGTTAACCTTTTAACTTAATGGCAGTGACATTTCCCAGGTTGAGATATGGCATCGGCCTGTGAAAAAGGCTGTGACTTCATCCGATGATCGGAGGAATGTGACAACGATATTCCCTCTACAAAATATCACACAGCAGTGAAAGGTAAAGCATGTAACCTAAAATCATCAAAATCACATTTTGTAAAACAAGTGAAAACACCTTATAAACTCATTTATAAGGTGAACTCATTTCAAATTTGTGTCCTGTTTCAGGACAACTTGACTTGTTTTACAGGTTTTCTAGAAATGTCAACATAGTAACATTTAAAATGAATAAATACACCTAACAAGTCTGTTTGTATTAGATCTTCAATAATGGATAAAAATTGAGATTTTGTGTAGTGTAGCAACCCAGTTTGACACGATCACAATAAACGAAAGGAAATAAGGTGTTTATGATGAAATTCGATTTTGTGTGGCTGTGATATCAGCAAGAGGTACCAAATGCTGAATACAGAAACAAAATATTTTTCCAATATATTGTTCATGTACAAGTCCACCAGATGCATCACTAACAAATAGGATTCACATTTGTTTTAATGCTTTTTTCTCCTTTTTCAGTCGTGAAACATGTTTGTGTCAAACATGAACAACAAATGTTTGCTGGTGGCACATTTGGCATTATAGTCTACATAAAACCACTGCATGTCTGCATATTCCTTTATTTTAATCATAGCCAAGAACTGTAAGTCAAATTTAAGATATTATACAAAAAGCAAAGTCCTCCCGGTGAATCACAAACAAAACGCGTCACTTCTATTCAAGAGCTGGACACAGATAATGGAGGGCCATCCCACTTTTAACCAGAGGCTGTTGGAAACGGAATGGACAGCTGCACATTGAGACAAAACATCAAAACACCAGCCACAGATGTCCGCAATTAGCAACATGGTAGACATTTGGGGAGCAAAGGTCCATAAACTCACATGTTATTATGGTTGATCTAACATTGCTGGAGGGAAGCCCACACTCAACAACATTAATGGGCTTTTAGTTTGAGTTGAAACATTCCACTATCCAGAATGTACCGTCAAAGAAAGCTTGACTCACAAAATCTTTAAGGTTTTCTATTCTGGTCCTAAATCTTATACCATTCAGTGCATGTGTACATGTGTGTGTGTTGGTGAATGTGAGTGAGAGAGCGAAACAAATAGGCTCAACGTGGTTCCAATCATTAGCAAATTCTAAGCTTCCTGTTTGTGTAAATATTTTCTTCTTTTGTTTTTCCAAGAGAGCAGGGTAGAATAATCAAGCCTGACCTCTCTGCCCTCTTGTTTCCTCTTCATCACGTGGACACGGCTCACCTTCTGCGTCGACACGCCTGAGACCAGAGGTAGGATTGACCCGTCGCTGGCTGGTGGGAGAGGTTAGTCAGGAATGGATGGACTCTCCAAAGGTCATGAGCAACAGCCACTGATACCAATGGATAACAGCTGTGAGGGCAGTTTAAACTCAGCATAGCCAACTTTTGAACTCTATGCAAAGACAAAAATACCTTCTTTCAGATATAATTTATGTGCTAATATTCCATCATTCAAAGGATTGTTTAAGGTATAGTTGCAGAATATATTAGAAAATGAGTTACACTATATTTGAAAGCATAAAACGCACGTTAAAATCTCACAAACCTCTTCCAGATATAGCTGTCTGCAACTTTGAAATATTACATGATAAATCTTTCAGCCCAGTATGTTTCTCAGCTTTTTGGAATGATGCCCTTAAAATCTCAGTATCTTTTGCATCACATGGCTTTCATCTTTCATTTGTATGTTCCCTGAGTTACCAAACGTACCAAGAGTTTGATTTCTCAGTATTCGTCCCGAAGAAATAATAATTCCAAATGTTCTTGAGGCATCTGCCACAAAGATGCTGTTTCTCTGAACTCTGGCTTTTTTGCTTTTAGTTGCTTGTAAAGTTCACCTTGCACTAACCCTTATTCTAAGGTTACTCTCAAAGAAAATACTGGTTTATTTTCTCCGTTCAGGAAGAGACACTTACGTCAATATATTGACCATTAATAGCAAATGTTTCTACTGTCAGATTTGGCGGAAATTGACCAGCTTCTCAAACACTGTTCTTTTTTTTGTTATTGCGTGGTTCCATTCTGTCCCCTCACCTCTCAAAGCTGGAGCTTGTCCCTTCAGTCCTCTGTATGAGGCACCGATGTGGGAAGCAGTTCTCTGAGGAAAGGCTAAACAAACAGGCTGGCCCAGGCACAAAGAGTCCGCCACTCAGAGACATGTGGCAGCAAAACCCTCTCAATCCCCCCCCCCCGCACAACTCTGAAACCCTCACACTCCTACCAGAGCAACACATAGGCTACTCTGACCATGGAGCCAAGAGAAGGAAAAATGGAGGAGGAGGGGGAGCAAATTCTGATTCCTATTCACTGAATGTCACCACCTCACAAAGGGGACCGCATGACACTGCCACTAAATCAGAGTTAATGGACTCCTTTCTCAGTCCTGCGAACATGACAGGGGGCGTGTGTGTGACAGTAAAGGGGTGTGGGAGAGGGACGGGGGCTGGTGAGGGTGCCTGTTTGCCCCATTGAAGGGGCACATGGGCCAATGAGCCTTGTGTGATATAGTGTGACCAGATTGGCGAGGGAAGTGTGTTTTCCAGGGGCATTAAACAGCTCGCCCAATCAAAAGCCCCGTGGCTCATTCAGCACTCATTTGTTTTCAGCAGTCCATAATTCAGAGGATGTACTGACTTGCTGCTTTCTATGAATTGTTAGTGATTTAAAAAAGGTGAGTGTTAATCATATGGTTTGTTTGACTGTTCTGTCAAGACTCTTTCGGCACAGCTGATTTGTGTGTAAGAAGCAAAACAACATAACATCAATCACAAGCCACTTGAAGAGTAAGTTCAACGTTACACAAACCATGTTGGTGCGAAGGCAATCCATCAAACCTAAAGTGAAGGTAGAGGGACTACCATCCACGGACGGGCTTGTGAGGCGATTGTTGATTTGCATGTGAACACTTATTTCACAATGACGAGCCAGACTGGGGGACAGCAATTTCGGAGCCGTTTGTTATCTTCCCAACAGGGCAGAACCTAACATGACTGAACCCCTCCCACCCTTGCAACATCGCGCCTCATCTTGGAGGCCAGGGCAGAGATGAGTGAAGATGGCATTGGTGTCACTTGGCAGGCATTCACAGCCGCCGCTCCCCCCGCCTTGGACTGCACAGGGGAGATGCGGAGAGACATAGGCGGAGAGACACGGAGCCCCAGGTACCGACCTCATTAGCAGATAAAAGCAACCTTTCCCCGTGACCCCTGACCCCGGAGGTTGCCATGGAGCCTTCCAGTCGAGGCATAGATGGAGCATGCTGGGTTTTCTCACAGCAGGGTAATGAATATGGGCCGCTGTGAGCATTATTAAGACCTACCCCACCCCCTCCTCTCTCATACTCAAATCCATATTCGTCCACTTCATGCCCTTCTGAGCTGAAGTTGTGCTGGAGCTCCCTCGCTTCCTGCTTTGTTTCTGTTCAGTCGCCTTCATACCAGTCAAACAGTTAAGCTCATTACATCCCTGAGTTCATGATGTGCAGAGAGGACAAAGTGATCACACTTTACTTAAGTATGCAATAAAAGGACTACCCGCAACCTTTTTCTCTGCTTGTTTCTTCTCAGCGATGTGGCCGTGTATGGTATTTGTTTTCAAGCTTTATTGTTTTGTGTTATTGTTGCATACACTTTTTGTAACTAGTCATGACATTAAAGGAGATTGTACATCTGCTATCAGAGCCAGACTGTTGAATTTTTTCTTTCTACCTCAGTGATTTCTTTTTTAAAAATATAGCATTTCTGAATGAAGTGGTATTTTTGTGCTGTATCTGCTATATCCCATTTGATTAGTTGGTTTTTCAGGTGTGTATTTCTCTGTGAAACACTTGAGGAATTTATTTTAAAAAGTGCTATACAAACAAAGGTTATTAATATTATTATTGCATGGGAATGTGTTCATACAGTATATAGAACCAAGGACGTCTTAGATTGTGTCGTCATACTTTGTGCTCTTAAAGGTAAAGCCTGTATGGGAGAAAGTGGATCAGTATGTTACAGAGCGCGTGTTCACGTATGTATCTGTGTATGCATGAGTGTGTATGTGTGGTTGTTGGAGAAAGAGGAGGGAGGGGTTATATCTTGGTCATGCTGACTGCGTTTTATAAGCTGTG